CCAAGATAACGATATTCTTCTCAACGATGTTTTTGGCAATTTCAATTGCCCATATTTTTTATTGGTACACAGTCAGGAGAACACTAATCCAAGAAAAAGGCCTAATGTCTAAGTCGTCTAGTCCACAGGTTTAGTCTGTGTGTCACGTCTACAATTACACCCAGTGTTGCAGTCAGAATGTTAAGTTTACGAAACATGCCCTCAAAACATTATCACTTCTTATTTACGCTGTGAAAAACATACTGGACATTGTAATTCCCAGGGCTAATTGAATTTGCCCACTCTTGTGTTACAGAGAGGAAACTTTACCATCGCTATGTGGTAATTGCCAAAGATTAATCGACACCACCGTCTTGTTTATATTCAGAACATCGTCTTTTCCCCATGGCCATCAGGCACTTTCCTCCCATGCATTTTTACTTGCTTCGTTTTGAACTTGGCAAGAGACGATTTTGAAATATAAAGTGGCAAGAAAAGAATAGATCAGTGTCATTATCTCTTTCGAAGTGTTACTGGTTGTAGAATAGAACGGTAATCAAATGAGACCTGGTCATATACACCTAATAAAAGAACCATGAACTAAAACGATAGCGTTTTATTGAAAATAAGATTTTAAAATCTGAAATAAAATGGCACTGTGAGATGTTATTACTGCAATAACGTGTGAAAGTTTGTCGATGAATCTTTATGACCTTCGCGTTATTGCTTCGAGTAAGTGCTGATAATTATTTATTGGGATAAATGTCAATAGTCAGACAAGTGCTTAGAACAAGACTTAATTACTGTTTGTTTATAGTAAAGCTTTAATACCTGGGTGCCGGAACGGAGTTATGGTGACTGAAAACACTACGTGATTCTATACCGAAGGCACTGACTTTATCATGTATCTAAAGGTGTCTTAAACCGCTTGATACAATGTACGCATCGGGTACTGCAACCAATGTTGTTTGATCTCCAAGACTCGATGGTTGTATCAAAAGGAATTACCCTGCTCTCAACAAAATGTTTCTTTTCTCAACGTGTCTGGAGTTCAATTTCGAAAGATTCTGGCAGTCGTGAAGGGGTTTATGTTTTCTCGCGCCATTGTCAATACGGTGTAGAATCAATACAAAGAGTGCGTTATTCGCCGGAAGTTCAACCAGTGACCATCAAGTACGGCCAAGAATTAATCTCCGCTGAAAGACAGAAACGGGTGACGTCAATTTCCTCACTAGGAAACCCTACTTTATGGTATTGCGAGCTAAAAAGGGATTTCCATGTTCGTTTCCGACCAAAGCAGTCTTGGTGTTATGTATAATGGGATTTGGAGACCTCTCTCCTGTTTCCTTGTACAAATGTGACCAGTCAGACGGCAGAACGGGAGCAGAGCTTCATTAACTCCAAGGGCGGCAGTTTCTGGAAGTCAGTAAAATATAAAGAAAATACTGAATTTTATATCTTGCTGAGGTAAATAAACAGGAATATGAATACAAATATTATAGATATTACGGATCAGAACCTTATAGTTCCCAAACTTGGTGAATCAATCACAGGAATGCTGCCACATGACGTTTACAGACTTCTCAATCCCTTTATGACACTTTCGAGTAAGTGAGTGAGTGAGTGAGCATTTGGGTTTAAAACGGCTTGGTTCCAGCATCGGGAAACAGGATTCAGAGAATCATGCACGTAGACAAAACGGCCACTAATATAAGCAATCACACCGATCCTAAAGTATCAGTGAGTGGGAGATTTGAAGGGTGTTCACTGATTATTATTATTAGGGCTCCTTGCCTCTAGGCAGGAGACCTATTGTAATCGTTCGGATTATTAATATTTTTATTATTATTTATTAATATTTCGCCGATTTTTGTACCAAACATAACTCCCAAACCAATGCTCCGAATCGCTTACAAAAAAATCACACAGATGCGCACCGAGGTGTAGATATTCCCCTTAAGGATCTCTAGGCTCTAGGCCCAATAGCAAAGGGGAGATAATTCAAAATTAATTCCAAAATTTCAAAGTTCGACAGCAAATATCTCAAGAACTAATTTAAATTGTTCCAACACTTCCACATCTCTTGTACAGATGCACAATCGAATTCCCAACAGTTTTGCCTGGACAGGTCAAGTCGCTAGTACGCTAGTATGGTAGTATGCCAGTATGGTAGTTGAAGGCTTGGTGATTCCAGAACATTAATTGTTTTGACCGTAGACCCAAGAACAACTGAGATACAGCCTTTTAAAGAGGGAACTATTTCTTCTCCGGAACTTCTTAAAAGGTACATCACCCCCGCGACCCCGGCTGTATTTGGAAGATCCGCTCGTCTGTCAAAAAACGTGTTCTGGCTCCGTTTTGGACGATGATTTCTAGCCCTCAGATACAATAGATAGAACTAAAGCCAAGGAGCCCTCACCGTTGCCTATATTTGTCCCTGAGTCTTGCAATTGTCTCTTGGCGCAGATTTCGTATATGGACAGAATACAGTTCACTTGCCTCTGAAGGGACCATTGTATACACTTTGTACTGGTTGTGTTCTGGCGTGTGGTTTGGGTAGCTTTCTCCAGTACATTTAAACAGTAATTGTTTTGTAGACGTTGTCCTTTTTGTGCAGTTTCATGAAAAAACATCCAATCTATGTGACATAACCACACTCTGACCTAATGCATCTTGCTGGTATATGGTCATGTTTGACACACTACTCACTGCTATGTGGCGCTTAATGATGATGAGTATATATTACTGCGTCCTTCAAATACTGAACGGGGATAGGCGAACACGCGACCTAGTAATCTACTAGATACGTAGATAACAGATAAACAAACAGTATAACGTGATTAAATTTAATAGCATATGGTACACGATTTTTAAGAAGTGTCAGAAATAAGGAAGAAAGGAATTATTTTTTAAATATTATTTTCTTTTTGGTTAATACATTGATCAGTAATATTTTAATAGATGTAATATCCTAGATAAATAACGACATGGAAATATAAGTCAATCGACATTTATAACTGAATGATATTCAAGAATAATTACAAAATTATTTATGCTCTCAAACCCTAAAGAATAGGGAGTAAACTGCGTACTGACAGTCCAAATGTATCGTATTTGATAGGAATGAGAAGGTACTGTTTCACAGATTGAGAAATACACAACAACTCAAATATGCCCTCAAATATGCAATATCCAGCTGTCGGCCGGATAACGAAGCTCTTATGTTAGAGATTGCTAGTGTCTGTTACATCGCTTGGCGTCAAGGGTCGTGCCTCATTCACATTGGTAATTCATTAAGTGTTATTTTTGACAAGAATGTATTGCTTACATTTCAAATGTTGTATACCGCTCCCAAAATATGGATATGATGAGGAGATAATTAATTAGATACCATCAAACTCCATATCGTTAAAATTTTCAGGTTGAGGTTGATGAACAGGCGGTCTACTCATTCATGTTTGACTGAACGATTGCAGTCCAGGAGTTCCTGTTAATTATAAGACAGTTTGAAGTAGGTTTGGTTAATGATTGACGCTGGCGGTATGGATTTCACATATTCACACTCCCACCTTTCCACATTCTACATGTCATAAGTAACATTTCATATTCCACATTTCACATTTCATATTCTACATTTCACAAAAACTCCACATTCATCATTCCGTATTCCGCATTTAACATTCGAGTTTCCTTATTTCGTATTTCACATCGCACAATTCATATTTCATATTCCACTTTTCACACACGACGTTCTGCTTTCCAAATTCCACATCCCGCATTTCACGTTTCACATTCTGCATTTCACTTTTCCAAACTTCTTATTACCTCGAAGGTTTCGCTGGATATGCTTTCATGACATTAACTAGTCGGCAAACTTGTTATCTCGAAGGTGCTGCTGGATATGGTTTCGCGACAATAACTAGTCTGCAAATTTGTTATCTCGAAAGTGTTGCTGGATATAACTTTACGACATTAACTAAACTGCAAACTTGTTATCTGGAAGGTGCTGCTGGATATGATTTTACGACATTAACTAGTCTGCAAACATGTTATCTGGAAGGTGTTGTTGGATATGATTTTACGACATTAGCTAGTCTGCAAACCTGTTTTCTCTAGGGTGATGATGGATATGATTTCACGATATTAACTCGTCTGCACACGTGTTAGGTACCTTACAAATGTGTATTACGACATCAATACACATGTAATGTTGTTAGGATTGTAATGAAATGTGTATCAATTGGTCTACACATGTTATATTTACGTCTTGTTGGAAATGTGTATTTCGACATCAGTTTGTCTGTAGACATGGTATCTTGCACGTATTGAGTGGAGATCGGATCACTGAGTGAGAGATACCCTAAAATATTTTAAATAGCAGGAGACTTACAAAGTACCTCTTCACACATGACATAAGTGTATGGCAACCAGTTAGTACTAACTGTATCCAAATCCCAGTGTTGCTCAACTGTTGTACGATAAGGTAAGTTTCCTTACGGAATTAACCAGCACTTAGAATGAGCTATCCATGGCTACCTCGACACTCTATCAAGCCAGCGTAAGCTTTTACAATACATAACATCGACACAGTTGTCGGTAATTATTAGAATAATGAAAGCCCATGGCGAAAAATATAATGCTGCGCTGTAAATAATAACGATAAATCCCTGTTCAAAATCTTAAAGCCTCCAACTAAAAGGAGAATCAGGTGGACGATTCTGACTATATCATATGCATGCGTTCATGAGTCAGTATCAAATAGCGATAAAATGAAGAGATGGCACCCTTCTCCAGCGGTGGTACCTAACACAAATACATGCAAAAACAAGTCAGTTGTTCACCTGACAATAATTGTACATAATTGGAAAACTCAGTGCGTAAATGCCATAATATTTGTCACTGGTTCTGTGAACGTCAAACATGAAAATATCTTCTTCATTTCTATAACAATATCTATTTTGAAAGTATTAGAACTCACGTGTCTTAACATCCAGATGTAAAGATTGATTCATTTTTTTCAGCAAACACAACCGCCGGAAAAAGTATTTTATGACAGTACTGTTGTGTGGCCGGAAGTAGAAGAGCAAGAACCGCCTTTTTCTGTAGTCAGTGGTATTTGTGAGGCGGGTCTGGAGTCAAAAGGCCCTTGCGAATTTCTTCATCGTGCCTTCTCTCTGTTAGGCGGAGCCTGTGAGTATTTCTCTTTAAAATCAACAATACATTTAACTCTTGTCTGAAACATGTTTCACGCGTCCCTGTACACAGACGGTATTCCCAGAAACGTGTGAGGTCTATGTGTAGAAGATGCTTGAGTAAATGTATTACTGACTTTGACCTTTCAAGCAGCAGTTTGCCTTTGATGGTTTAGTGTAATTACCTTTGTCGTGTATGCTCGATTAATTTATTGATGCACGGAGACACCTTCCCCTGGCCACATGTCTCAGAAGTACTTGTTCCACACAGAAAAACATACTAGGTTACTAGGCGAGTGGTGCGATGCTTTACGTGAACACATAGGCACAACCATCAACAGTGTGACTTCACTGATATCACTTATTAATTACGTAACCCCTAGACAAAAACGTCACATGCAGCTCGGGAAACTGTTGTAATTTTGAAGAGACACAGAATTTTATCTCGGAATTGAACATTTAACTAGATGCCAATACGGTCTATAGTACAGGTTAATATACAACTTGTGATGAATGTCACGTTATATTTTCTACTGTCAAAGAAATTTGGCCGGGCGGTTCCAATGGTGTAGTGGATAGAGCATCGGCCCGGAGAGCTTAAGGTCGATGGTACGAAACTCCGCTCGCAGTTGTTAGCCTGCCTTGCTTTAGGGTCGGCTGGGAGTCGCCGTGACGTTTGTGAGTGGGACATACACATAATTGACGACATGGTATCGTGGACGTACCACACACACACACACACGCACGCACGCACACACACACACGCACACACACACTGCTGTCTTTATATATGTGCAATCATCTATCACTGCCACTAGTTTAATCGGCTGACATTTTCCACTTGTAAAAGAGAAGGGGATTGAGGTGGTAGCCTTGTGGGGGTAGTGGTTAAAGCGTTTCTGTGTACCGCCGACGGCCCGGTTCATTTCCCTACGTGGGTACAATATATAGAGCCTACTTTTGATGTCATCCTCCTCGATATTACTGGAATGGTGATGAAAGCAACAAACACATACTCAAGTCGCCGCCATTTGACACAATGAAACAGTCGCGGCGATTAGTTCTAGCTTAACGTGAAACATAGGAAAAATCGGTCAAGTTATTCCATACAAAAGATATCTTGGGGCAGCAGGTCGTTACAGAGGAATGTTCCATATTGTCGCTGCCAAACGTCACTGATATCGGGTATACCCACATCTGTTGGCCAGACCTACACGAATCTAGAGTTAAAATCTTAACATGGACCCTTAGTAGAGAACTCTTATGATTATGAAGGATGTTTTTTCGTGTTTGCACATAAATATAAAATGCCATCAAGAACGGTAAAGGAACGCCCGCAAAGTTGTTCTGAACGGATGTGTATCGGCTTCAAGTACCTCAGCAGTATAGGATGACTGGAAGACGAGTATTGTAACAAATACGCCCCCGCCTACACCCAGCCCTCCCTCCCCGGCACCGTAAGCACACCGTCTTATGACAGTAAGAAATGTCAGAATAATGTACAGTGAATCAGAATATAGAAACGCATGATGTATTACATGTCTTCCGTAGAGGGTCATTAAGTATTAGCCAATGCAACATAGATCATCATGACGATCACGTGGTACGCTTAGTACAAGCCATAGTGTTGTTCCATTAACAATCTGAACACATGATGTTTAAACCAATGCAAGTAGGCAGACATGGTAATAATTTTACTGGTTACAGGGCAAAAGTGTCCATATAACACCTTACAAATACACGTTCCGAGCATGGTGGAGTATATACTTAGAGTGAATTGAGCAATAAACCAATGCTCCGATCAATGTAAGTTGTCGTCATCTGAGATGTGTCCTTTGACTAGTAACACTCCTCTGGACTAGTTATTTCCATTTTTGAAGCTCGCAGCTTGGTATCTAAAAAAAACGTTCAGCACTTTTTCGTTTATATTTCTTCATAATTAGTCATGTTAGAAACCCTATCGTAAGATAGCAATCGTTTTTTATATAGTGAAGTAATCACATCAAGAGTCTGAAGACGAAAATGATAATTGGATTACCAACTAACTGGATTACTAAGCCTCTAACTGTTCTATGGCAATGCAATGTAGTTGTCTGACTATACTGTTTTTATGTCAAGATACTAGTATAAGAACATACAGTGTTCTTGTACGTTCTGCCAAGGATGTATACGTGAGATGCACAGTAGACTGAGATATATGACATAAAGAAGCGCTGGTGATCACGATGTTCCAGGAATATAATTATATTATGATATCGCAAAGAAAGTGGCAGCAACGTTTACTATTCGACATTTTCTTATTCAAGTACATCACCCCTGTGTTGAAATATAATACACCTATAATATTTAACATGGCCTCCAGCCACAAGTCTGAACATGAGTCTTTCCTGTTCAAATGCCCACGTAACAGAACATGTTACAGAGCCATTCGTCATAAGAAATCGATTAGTACTGTGTCATATTATGTCTCTGTCGGCACGTGTGCTTAGTCTTACATAGACTTACACAGTGTTACCTCTTGGGGTCGCGATACTGTGGAGTCTATAAGATTTCATGCGGAACAGAATAAACATTTAGTTTAGTTTTGGACGTTGGAAACAAGACGCTTAGCTGATGGTTTTGCTCAATCAATATTTTATACATATGTTCATTTAGCAGATGTGTGAAAAAAGATTATATTATTGTATATTTGTCTAAATGAAAACGTTCGAGCTTTCGACTCATAAAGTGTGACATAGCTGGAATGTTGTTGAAACGGGTGTTACCTTTATCAAACTAATCATATGTTCTTGCAATGCCCAGTTTCGTATGTCTGAACGTTTAGTTACATTTGTGGTTTCCCCGACTCTCGACTTTAGTGTGTTTTGTGAAATTGTCCAAAAAGAAAGCACGTGGGTGAGGATGGATAATTGATTTGTAATGTGAGTAGAAAATCACCAGCTGCCCAAACGGATTCCATTGGGAAAGAATCATAAGTATTTGAATGGATTACTGAACATCAGTGACACCAGGTGTTGCAAAAGCATCTACACAACTGAACAGAAAGCATCTTGCCCCAAACACGAAGCTTGTAAATTCATTGGCATTCTTGATGTTTCACATGTATGCAATTTCTGGTTTCAGGGCCAGTGACCGTTTTCCTTGTGATTCTGCTCGCCTTGCCGTTAGTCATGACAACAATAGGTACGTGAAAACCTCTGTACAATACATCACACTTTCCCCAGCGAATACGTTTGTATACCAGCTAACGTTAATTGTGGGTGACAACTCCTGTACAACAGATCACACTTTCCCCAGCGAATACGTTTGTATACCAGCTAACGTTAATTGTGGGTGACAACTCCTGTACAACAGATCACACTTTCCCCAGCGAATACGTTTGTATACCAGCTAACGTTAATTGTGGGTGACAACTTCTGTACAATAGATCACACTTTCCCCAGCGAATACGTTTGTATACCAGCTAACGTTAATTGCGGGTGACCACTCCTGTACAACAGATCACACTTTCCCCAGCGAATACGTTTGTATACCAGCTAACGTTAATTGCGGGTGACAACTCCTGTACAACAGATCACACTTTCCCCAGCGAGCGAAGCTACGTTTGTATACAACAGCACACTTTCCCCAAAGTTAATTGCGGTGACAGCTGACAACCTCTGTACAACAGATCACACTTTGCCCAGGAATACGTTTGTATACTAGCTAAAGTTAATTGCGGGTGACAACTCCTGTACAACAGATCACACTTTGCCCAGCGAATACGTTTGTATACCAGCTAAAGTTAATTGCGGGTGACAACCTCTGTACAACAGATCACACTTTGCCCAGCGAATACGTTTGTATACTAGCTAAAGTTAATTGCGGGTGACAACTCCTGTACAACAGATCACACTTTGCCCAGCGAATACGTTTGTATACTAGCTAACGTTAATTGCGGGTGACAACCTCTGTACAACAGATCACACTTTGCCCAGCGAATACGTTTGTATACCAGCTAACGTTAATTGCGGGTGACAACTCCTGTACAACAGATCACACTTTCCCCAGCGAATACGTTTGTATACCAGCTAACGTTAATTGCGGGTGACAACCTCTGTACAACAGATCACACTTTCCCCAGCGAATACGTTTGTATACCAGCTAACGTTAATTGCGGGTGACAACTCCTGTACAGCAGACCATAGATGGGACAATATCGGAAGCTTGTCACAACTGTAAAGTAGGCTATTTGTATTGACAAAGAAAACCGGAATCATGGAAATATTTTGGTATAGCTTTTTATTGTGAAGACAGAGCACAGTGTTCTATATTTAACACAGAATAATGCTAACAATTAAACCTTAGCAGACAATCTGAACAACAGGTTCCGGATAGGACAATGACAGGTAAGAGGATACCACTGAAGAACAGATGTTAGTTCGAACAATAGCATCTCTAAACATCAAAGTTTAGATAGGGCAATACCAGGTATAGTCTGTTTGCATTGAAAACGTACCAATGAATTTCACTTTAAACAAAAAAGTCAATCAAATAAAGTGAAGTTTAGATTGCGAATCCTTGCCAATTTAACATTTAAATCTCGAAATTTTATTCAAATTAGGATAAAAGTTGTTTAACAAACGATCATAGATTCAAATCGCTATTACTGGTTTGTATTAGAATGGGGTAAGCGCAGTAGTTGGAACAGTGAAACAAATGCACGTGCGGTACGTGAAGAGCGTTAACTTATAACAGCCCTTGTCGTTTTCGGTGTTTCATTTGATGTGCATACCGCCTTGCAATACAAACCAATAATAGCCATGCGAAACGATGATCGTTTGTTAAACAACTTTTATCCGAAGTCGAATAAAAGTCTGAGATTTAAATGTTCAATTGGCAATGAGATTTAAATGTTCAATTGGCAAGGTAAAATCATGAGGATTCGCAGTCTTAATTTCACTTTATTTGTTTTACTTTTTGGTTTAAAGTGACATTCATCGGTACGTTTTCACTGCAAACAGACTATAGGTGTCTAGTGTCCTCTGCCGTGATAGTGCTGAAATGTTGCTGAAAGCGGCGTAAAACCCAGCTCATTCTCACACCAAGTAAGTGGATACCTCTTAGGAACAGGTTACATACTTGACGTAGGATGCAAGCATGTATGCCATTCCTTTTCAGCATGAGAACTATGGCATGACAGACGTATTATTTAGATAAAAAATAATTCCATTTTGTCTCACTAAACTCACTTGCTGAGGAGATATCGCTTGGGGAAAACCAAGCAGAATTTGGTCATGACATCACAATCAAATGACATTCCTATCCTCTATGCCACTGAACACAGTCCGATTTACACACAAGACACTTGTTATTACAATATAGTATAAACAAGCTGGAAGAATAATATTAGATGATAACGAGAACCTCGACCTCGTGTATTTTGACTTCAATATATAAACTTTTGATCGACCCTGTGTTAATATGTTTGTGACTGACAAATTTATGGATAATGACTTCTTATATTTTGTGTGTGCAATGTTTCGATTAAGATTCACTCAACGTCGCACTCACAAAATATAAGATGTTGTTATCCATAAATTTGTCAACATTGTACTTTCCACCTTCCAAAACACCACTCAAAGAATTTAAATGCGTTTACCTATCAACGTTGACAATGAACAAGAACAAAATAGAATATATACCCCGATCTATCATCAATACAATAGGGTATTTTGCTGGAAACTGAACTGGATGAGCAAAATTGCCCCCGGACATGATCTATCTAATTATCTCAATTTTCCTTCTTCCTTATTAGGTGTGAATTATCTCCACGACTGTCCACGAGAACCCAAGCTTCCAATCTACTTAGTCGTCGGTGGATGCTTTGGCATTCTAAAACTAATTTTCTTATTATGGAAGCAAGTGAGACGACACAAAGAGGTAACCGACCTCCACGACGACGAAGACCTCGTCACCATGACGCGCATGACGAACATAGCATTAAATATATTTTTGACAATTTGGTTCGTGTTTGGACACTACTGGGTGGTGGGTATTTGGAAGCCCCACTTCTCCGCGCCCTTGCACGAACCAAAGAACTGGTGTGAAAGAACAGTGTTCCTGTTCTCGTTTTGGCAACTGGTAATCTGTCATATTATCATAGCGCTGATGATTGCTATAGGTCTGATGCTATTGTGTTGCTATACATGTGTCAGATGTCTACTCGTCGACTCAAGCAAGAGTTGACAGACAATGAAGGCGGAGCGTGTCCGCGTTTAGCCACGGATTGGACATTCAAGATGACAACTGCTCCTTCCCAAGACGAATTCTAAAACTACCCACAACGTGGCTCCACAGTGCTAGAAGAAGGCGAAGAACCTAATACAGTGTGCATGAACCAGGTGGTTGTGAACGCGGCATTTTGTTGGCGTCTTGTGTGAGAATATTATGCCTCAGCAGGAACGAATCTATCACCTCATATCGTGGTGCATCCAAGTGATATTTTATTACAGAGTTTGAAGAAGCTTTACCAAGACCACGATCCAAGCTGACCACGACATATTATCGCTCACTTTGCATCATATCAATATAACCTCTTGCATTTTGCCAAGCATAAAAGCCTTATGGCAAGAGAGACGAAGTCTCTCGTTTATCACTCAAATATTTTTGCATCGAATTGTACATGTACTGTGACGTATGTTTTCTGTTACTAAGCAACGTGTTCCCTATTTTCTGTCTCTGGTAACCATTAGATTACAGGAAGCATATCTTGTCTCGTCTGTATGATTGTACGTGCACGCTTAGCTATTGCATCTGTAATAAATCGTTATTATTGTATATTGGGTGGACAACAGCAAATATTCATTTTGGTCATATCATGGGTACCCGGCAGGATGTAAGTATACACTCAAATGCCTAACTTTGAGCTTGGGCGGATCTGATATCGTTCAATAATGGTCAAATTTTCAGATTTACTGATTTACCAACCTGAAATGGTGATAAACGAGAAACCGCCTCGTCGGCTTCATATTTAGATCTGTGCATGCAAATTGAGACTGTATGACGAGACTGTATGACGAGATGCGAAATTTCCAATAGTCATCTTTCGAAAGATTTTTGGTAGACATGTAGAGTATATTTCGAAATTTGATGCATCAATGACCACAGGTATGTCCGATCAATTCCCTATTTCGACTTAGCATACGTTCCCATGTTTCTCAGGGAAACACTTGCCTTGTCTATGCGTGTGTTTGTCACCAGTGGGACAAAATAAGGTAATCGCGATCACTGTTTTATATTATATTCATAACAAAACATGCTTATGATATAGTCGAAATTATGCTTTCAGCTGATATTTCATTTCATTATAGAAAAGCCATCATTAAGAAATATATACTGAGCAACATAAGTATTAGTGACCTGTTTCCATTTTACTAAACCGCTGGTGAATCGTCCATGTAGTGTAGACGGAACATAACATAGGCATGTCACCAGGAGCTAGGTTTTCTGTCACAGGAGTGCTATATAATATCATTTAAATCTTCCATGCGCTATAGTGATGATGACACAAGAAGGTAACGAAATACTCTCACAGTGATGTAGTCATTAGCAGTAATTCAGTCAGGGTATATTACGCACTCAGGAAACGCGGATGCCATTTTAACCGAAACCAGATAGAATAAATCAAAGTGCTCCTGTCGTTACACGAGGCGATTTTCCTAGATTTGATAAAAGATGCTTTACTCTGTCAAACGATGATCATGGATTAAGGATCGTGAAGAGGCGGTGACGAGCACGGATCTGGCGTTGCAGTTGTCCGTGGTTTTAGATTGAAAGCGAATGATACAGTGATGAAACTGGGCATATTTTTTTATGAAAGACGAGATGCTTTACAGATGGCACTCACGGAGTAAAAGATTAATCGGATGGTAAATAAGTTCAAAGAGACATTATCAGACAGGTAAACATCAGCGTTGAAGTAGTTCGGCGACGCTGTTTACACCCGACAACGACGGTGACGGTAAATGTCTCATTTTTAAATACTTAAATCAAGATGCGTTGACGACACATGGGAGTTGGAGAGTCTTTTATCAGCATCTCATTGCCTTGGAGATCCGTCAGTTTGTTAGCTGCTCATTGCCTTGAAGATTTATAAGAACTGCCAACTGTCACCATTGACACTGAAATGTTCAAATAACAGACATCTTCAAGAAGATTGATGGATCCTTAGTGCTGCAAAACATTAATCATGAACTGTTATTTTTCAACGATTAAACCACCTGTCAAACACCACAAACACTCGTCTCGTATCAGCAAGTTGTTATATGTGTAATAACAACTGCACGTATCTTATTACTGAGATTTTTCGCATGAATATTTATTTAGGAATTGGCCATCAGCTTGCAACGACGTCCCTACAATGTTTGGTCCTCAATCTAAGAAGGTTGATACTGAAACAAACACACAGAAAGAGAATGTGAATTCTTAAAATTTTCTTAATTTTTTGTTCCTACAAATGTACCGCAAAAGGGTTAGGCACAGCTTAATGCGTTATCTCTCGTTAACACTGACCTACATACAAGAAGCTGTATCACGGAAGAAAATAGTTCGTCGAAAGAACGGTCAGATTGGTGTCTGTATGCCCTAATGGCTCTACAGTAGCATTATTTGTAACTTACTTACAATACGTTATTATTAGATGATAAAGGTCTGGTAAGAACTACCTCAGTAGATCTGTCACAGTGACAGCGCGTCGTAATATATTTACATCAGGTTCGGAAATCAAAATGGCCGACAGAAAAATCGTGTGGCAGTTACGAGAATTGCTCATTTTTAAGTTGAATGGTCTTAAGGATGATGATAATAACATGCTAGGTATGTTCACAAATACTGTAGATTGCCAGTCAGTCTATGCATGGAACGATATGATAGTGTCGGTGTATACTTCGTCGTGTTCGCTAAGACTGGTTGCACCAAGGACATACGCTCAGGTATGCGATCAAGGCCTCTGACTTTTCCCAATGCAGGCTAATGACTAAAAGGCCAAAACGATTGGAAAACATAACTTTTTTGTGTTTATTCGTTCTGAGGAATTCCCAGGCATGTCCCCATGAATCCGGAAGTGGTCCGTTTCAACGAAAAACGTCTAAACGTCAAACTAGGCCGCTTTTACGCTTATACCTCAGTTTTGCTGTTATGTGACAGGCTTCTCGTCAAGTGGAACAGCAGTTTATCGTGTAAACTTCACATAAAACATTTAAACCTAAGAACGATTCTTGGAAACAGGTATTGCAGTATATTAAAGAAAGTGAAAAGCACCATCCATGGTGATTAGGTTCTATCACCCACTGCTTTTCAGAGGAGGTGGCTGAAAGGTAGAGTGGTCGTTTACAATGTACATCATGGCATATTCAATGTTGTTATATCATTGCGTTAGTGTAGTAGGTGATGTAGCTGGAATATTGCTGAATGTGACATAAAACAATATTCATTCACTACTCGCTTCTTTGTGTGGGCATTAAATTAATTATCTGCAACTAGTAGCAAGTTTAACGTAGTGTATATTCCGTATCAGAACCAGCGCGGGGGAAGACACCCTGCCGAATACCAATAGCCTTAATTTTACGTGGATATTGTGGCTTATTTTAAACGATTACGCCCCTGTCCAATTAAAGCCTTCAATCATGTTTCCGAAATAGGGCTGAACGAGCTGGTTTCTGCATGAACAGCCTTCATCCATCTCGTGGACACATCTGTGTTGTTAATTAAGATGACAGTCACGTTCAAAACGTTTGCCCTGAATCCCCGCTCAGAGGCGCCATCTGATGATCTCAACTTCACTGCTTGGACCTATTCCCAAAGGCAAGATGGCTGCCGGTATTGAGTGCCTGATACGGCGCTGTAGAAGGGATCACCGTCAGGCTATTACATGTTCCAACTGTGACAACTATTATTTTGAAATCAATGATGTATTAATTTATTTGTTGTCAACATTTTCTTTTGTCTTATGTTTAATACATATTGCCTTCGCATAATTTAAAAGCACCGTTTATTATTTTCACATTACCAAATTTTATTTAAGTATGGCAAGACTAAATTTGTTCTGTTTGTAGCATGTTGAATGTATATTTAGAATATTAAAAAATCTTTAACATATTTTCGCAACCTCTTCATAAATTAGTGTACAGTAAGGATAGATCCTTATCAATGAGAGTTTCTAGAATGATGACAAATACGGTATTATCACTAAGTCAATGTATACACGTGGGCAAGAAGCTCTGCATCTGTATAGTGTATGCACAGTGTTTGTATTCCTTTGTAAATGGTGTATTGTTGTTTATTTCATGTGTCTCTGAAGGCTGGTCTATTCTTGCATATGAACAACTATTTTGATACTTTGTATATTTAAGGCAGTGTCGCATCTGTGACTTATTGTTGACCTCTCACCTTTACGTGTCAATTGTTTCACTCTATTTTTGCCATTGTGACATAAGTAGCTTTTCCACTTTGTCTATTTTAACTTTTGAAGAGTTCCCATATATTATTATACCCCATATCCACCTTTTGAAAATAAAACCAATTCTTAACATGATGTTTTGTTGTGAATGCACTAACACACGTCTCAGATAAAAAATCAAAGATGCTAAAAATATATGTATACGATTATAAAGGTGCCTTTGTTGCCTCTCTTTGTCAAACGTTGGATATAAATAATGATGTAACCACATGCAGATAGTTATGTGAATGAATGTCATATATTTCGTCTACTTTCACATGTGTAGTTAAAATATATTATCTATGTTCTATGATTATGCATACAGATTCACCTTATATCATATGCCGTTTGAGTCTCTCTGCACATACCTATGATTTAAAGAAATAGTTTCACGTTCCAATTATAACGAGAGTTCATTCTACGGTGACTCCATTTATACTTTTAACGTGCATTTGTTGTATTTCCAACCATGAGTATTTTTTTTAATTCAGCAGATTACAAAATCACTAATTTTGGAATGAACGCAAAATAAATAACAGCTGAGTGCGGCGTAAAACTAAACTCACTCACTCATAATAAATAACATCACCTGGATGAGGAAGAAGATGCTAGCCCCGTGACGCCAACAATGTATGACGTCACCATGACGTCAGGGATGAGTACAGTGCATTACGTACACGTACATGTGACGTAATGTAGATATGTGTACTTATGGTCTACTTGAATATAGTTAATATGAGATCTTTATGACCACGTTAAGTAGTTACTGTAAACGATTTGTATTTATCGCAAAATTCAAGTTGTGTGAAGGAGGAAATAAATTATTGACTCACAACTAGACAATGCTATGATACACGGGTCTCATGCATGCATATTATATGTCTCATGTATACACGGGATACGCGTAGGCTATGATACAACGATACACGGTGTACAATAACACGAAATCTAGCCGAGCTCGTGGCATTTATATCTTGGTCATCCATACACGGACGGTGGGGTAGCCTAGTGGTTAAAGCGTTCGATCGTCACGCCTAAGACCTGGGTTCGATTCTCCACGTGGGTAAAATGTGTGAAGCCCATTTCTGGTATCCCCGGCGTGATATTGCTGGAATATTGCTAAAAGCAGCGTAAAACTAAACTCACTCACTTTGGTCCTCTATTACGATCTGCATTGGTGTTTGGGTACTTATTCTATCCATGGCTCTACACTAATAATGGAAATCTACTCGTCAGTGTTCGCCCACGCGCAATTGAAGATCTCTCTGTAGCGATGCCAATAAGGCTGCATACGGTAAAAGAAAACAGATTGGACAGAAAGTGATTGAAATCGATTAAGACAGGCTTAAGTAAGTACATCAAAGATCACACATCATTACAGTTCGTTCTGGGTCATTCTTCTCATATATACTCTAATACAACATCCGGGTACATCTGTCAGAGCGATAGGGAAACAGAACTCAGTTCACATTGAAGGTATGCCTGTTCTTTCTCAGTCTCATGGGAGAAAAAGGTCCAGTAAATATTGAAGCACCCGCGTTTCTATCATTTTATACCTCTTCGAACATTTGTGTTACGGTTGTTGAAGAGAAACAAGGGGAAATAACTCGTGAAATCATAAAAGCGATTCCAATTTCGACTCGTATGAAAGTCAGTCTTTTGTACTGTGAAAAGAACTTGAGGTTGAGTGGGTGATTGAGTTTGGTTTATACTCGCTTTGAACAGTGATCGATATGTCAGCATAATGCGGAACCAGCTGCCTAAGTGATGCATTTGTAGATGTTTACCAAAGAAAACATTTACAATTTAACAATTAAAAATCGTAAAGGTATATGTTGTGAAATGTTTAATCTGGGATTGGAACCCACGATTATATATTCCAGGCACGTCCAAGGGAAGCAATTAACATAAGGCGCCTTAATAGACTGTGCTACCAGTTTACGTAGAACGTAGAAGTGTGTCCACAGGTTCGAAACTTAATAAGGTATTTCTTCATATGTGCACTTCAAATTGAAATAATTGATATAAAATTAATATAACAATCAATGTTATTTTTTAAAGAAATTAGTAATATCTTAATAAACACGTGAATACAGTTAAGTGGAAGCTTGGTGCTTTGTTAATACCGCTTTAACAATGTGATCATGATAAATATAGACAAAAGAGTTTAAATAGCAATGAATATCTCGTACTTAAAGCTTAGTCGACTGTCACATTCGACAGGACAGCGTGAGGGTCAATTTTCAGCCTAAAGTCAGCGGCACCCTTCCGTGCGCAACATAATAAAGAGAACAGAGATGGTTCACGTTCACCAGAGTGACTTACTTCAGCAAATGCATGATAATAAATCCACAAGTCAACACGTTGATTACACAACAGTCTCGTTTCCTGCTGACTGGGTTTCGTCCTATTGCGCAACTTAGTACAGTAGCCAGTTTAGAATTTGAGACTAACTCATTCAACTGGATATATGAATATTAATCAGTATTATTTGTTACACCTAATCACTTGTATATTGCAATACTACGCTCCTTCTAATCCTTGCAAACACGTTGTAGTGTGCCCTGTCGTACAGTGTACTCTGACAAACGGAAATGTTGAAATCGTGGAAATCTCAAAACGAGGCTCGGCCGCTACAAACGTTTGGCGGTCTTGTATGGCCTTGTTATTATATCCAATCACTTTGTACTTTACAAAAATACACTTAATAAGCGCAAAGAACACATGACTGGAGTAACCAGTGAGCCAGATGAATTGTGAATCATTTTACGACCTCATCAAACAGGGGCAGTCTGTGACGTTTTAGTTAACGTCGTGCTGCCTAAACCTCGCCGTAAAATATAGAAATACGATTATATTCAAGTTCAAAATTAAAATTCATTTGTAAATACCATTTTCTTATGAAACAAGCAATTGGAATTTCGTATAACCATGGTCGTTTGCAGTGTCTCTTTCCACTTTCACACGAGAAAATTCGGATCGGCTGAAAAGTAGGTCATTGTCTGAATTGGTTCATGAGACTCATGTTTCGGTTTGTTATCTGGTCTAATGGTAAATGCAGATTGCTGGCCTCAATGAATATTCTTAACATGCACAAGATGTTTGTGTTTTGGGGAAAATTGTCGACTTGTATCTTGTATCATAACAACTGATATAGATCTTTATTGAACCTTGTTTCCTGTCGATTCCTGAAACTTTACCCTGGAATCAGTCCATAAAGGAACCAGGTGGGAAACCAAAAAACAACAAAGAAACGTGATGTAATTTACAATTGCATTCTGAAATTTACTTTCTGAAGTTTACAAAACGATACATGTCACTATTAACGTATCAGAGTGGCAGTACAAATTCAAAGGTAATATGACGCAAGAGCAGTAGCTATAGCAATAAAGACAGTGGAGATAATATTTACTCCCATCAACCTTCATCGAACTTGCGTCTAGGCCTAAGCAGAGTATAATGATCATCACACATAATGCTGGTCTTCTTGTAACGTGAAATGTTATGTGAGAACCGGAGCAAGAAATAGCTCCCCTTATATACCTAGGAAAAACTACCAGATCTTTCTACTCTGTTCTCAACGTCACTTGACATGCCAAGGGTATTGTATTTAAGCACTACGATGTTGTTGTTTAACGCCACACACAGCAATATTCCAGCTATATGGCCGCAGTCTGTATGGGTTGCTGAAGATCAATTCCAACCCAGATCGGGTCCAAACCGACAGTAAATATCAGTGGCCGTATGCATATGTTGGGAGTAGCTGACGTCGGGCGTAACACACTACGTCCGGCTTAGCAGCGCCCTGATCTTACACGTCATGCACAACGTCGGTAAGCCTAGGCGTTACTACGCCCGACTTAACGGATTTACGTCGAGGCGCAGTGTGCTATTTTTAGATTTTCGAACGTTTTTAAACCACCGGTAAAAGGCGCGAAACAACTTCGCGGTACATCCGTTTCAGCCGCAATCATGGAAAGCCAAAGAAAACCGAGAAAACCCAACTTTACCGATGGATCCTGATGGAGAAATAACATGTACTTTCAAAATAGGCTTCATCATAAATGTCGCCATTTTTGACACATTACAAAATCACGATTCACAGCGTTATTTGGTGTATGTTTTGAAATGTTCAAATCGGATAATTACTATTTAGAAGTATTGAATTTCAAAAATAGCATATTAATGATCATGGATATCAGGTTTTCATGAAATCACTAATGTTACATTTGACCACTTTCTAAATGGCATTGTGTAATCATAGCTTTCGGCCTTGGGAGCCGTGCCAATCAACACTTATCAGAGGGATACACAAAGTCCGTAGTCTAGACTACCAGTTGTCCGACTTCGCGGTAGCTGAGAGGGTTAGGCGGCTGACTTTGTGTGCTGGCGATTAGGTGCCTGACTCATCCCAGATGGGGCTCAACTCAAAAAGTACTAGAATTTGTACTTTACTAAGAAAGTGTAATCCCAAATATAGCATATGTTACATTTGACCACTTTCCAAATGGCATTGTGTAACTCATACAGGAACATAAATAGTTACCGTGTGGGGAATGGAACCCGGTTCTTCTGCATCACAAGCAAACGCTCTTAAGTGCTACCTGACCCATCGCCCCTTCTATTTCAGTGTAGTTAATGTGCACGTGATCCATTATTATGAATTCACTGCATTCTAAATGTCCGAATTCTGACATCTGTTTGAGACTAATTACAAAAATGTTTAATAGAAAATTTCCTATGTTTCTCAATATGTGAATGTTATTGATTTGTTGGGGAGCGGAAAATTTAACATTTGGACCTCCGGGTAACGGCACAATTAATCATGAAATAAGGTTTATGTCCTAATTTGAAGCAGAGGACGGAGCATTATCGTGAGGTCGTAAACGCAATTGTCATGATTTACAGGTGAAAGGAGAATTGAGGTGTCATTACAACTCCCGGCTGTCAATATACTTGCGAGAAATAGAAAAATCAGAATCCATGTTGAATCTGATCTGGGTTTTTGCTTTGTTTCAATGACATCCTTGGAAATGAGAGAAGCCATCGATTTATGACCGCAATACTGCTTTAGGCAGGTTACGCTTGCCC